CTACCACTAAAAGTATCAAACATAGGTTAGACAAACACGCAGGTGAAATGTCATAAAGAATATATTAACATTGGCTACATAGTCACACTAGACGACTTTGAAGTGTTTTGCAACTCTGAGAGGCTGTGATTCTAGCTCTTCTCAGAAGGTTGGGTTTCTCTATTCTTTGCTATACCTTAGGCCAATTTTTGGCTTGTGTTAAGTCTTAGTTTTCACTTTTTCCAGCCTTCAAGACTGATTTCTCTTTTAATTTTTATTCTTTAATCCTCAAAATTGAGTCATTTTTCCTAAAGGGGACAGAGTCCTGTGTTATCCCTATTCAGTAACCCTTTAATAATACAGTATACAAAAATAAATAAATAGTCATATAGGAAAATGGTGTTTTGTACAAGTTAAGTACTCCATAACTGTATGCATGTGAGATATAGATTAAATGTATACCAATACAGAGAGTTCAGTCATAGAAATAATAAACCATAATTTATTGGGATTTCAGAGTTTGTGTTGATGGAAAATTTGAAAAAATAAATTACTTAAGATAATCTGAGCTAAATAAGTTCTTGAAGAACTAGGGGAAAAATATAGAATTGGACCTATTAATAAAAGGGTGAAGACATTTAGGGAGGATGTCTAGGAAATATCTTTATAGCTAAATATGTTTTCACTATATATGTAATTCATCTAGGAATGCCTTAACTTCCTTACATCTGAACACTTGTTTAAAGAACACAAACAAACTAAGCTTTGTTGGATTGCTGACAGAAAAACACTGATTTGAAGGTACACAAAATGCTAAGTAATTGGGTTACATAGCTGTTAGTAACACATATAATCAGGTTAGTATAAATCTAAGTGAAGCAAGCAAAGATTATCTAGAAAAATCTACTAGACTGCATTCACACCCTCTTTTCCATTCTATTCTATACTCCACTGCCAGAGAAGTCTTCGTAAATAGCAGCACTCATCACAACAGTACCTGGAACAGTGCCAACCTCTAAGACAGTGACTAGCACATGGTATATGCTCAGTAAATACCTGCAAAAATCTTTACCATCCCTTTATAGTCCATCTCAAATTCCACTGAAAGAGATAATTTCCTAATCTCCCAAATCAAAGCCATCTACCTCATTTTCTGCATTCCCATAGCTTTCTTTTAACCTTTCCCACTGCCGTTAGCACATGCGCACATGATGTTAATTCTACCTTTTAGATGTCAACTAGTTAACCCAAACACTGTGTGTAAATTATCTTTGAACTCCTCACAGTGCTTTAAAAAGGAAGCTCTCCATAGGTGCTTACTGAATTCAGCGTTCGCAATACAATGTAGCAATGTTACTTTAGGGTACATTATTAACTCTACATTGCAAAAAGCAAATTTGAAATCTTTAGTTTTTGAGCAAAGTTTTAAAATGCACATTTTAATTGTGAATGATATATTTTTTACAGAAATAAAAAATAATGCCTTTTCATTTTACGNTTTAGCAGGGAGCCCTGAGTGCCATCTACTCACTGCGCTTCCCAGCGGCCACTTCATGGACACACGTGCAGACGCAAAGCCATAAGCGCTAAGGCTGGCAGATGCTCTGCTTCTCAGTGCCGTCTGCTAAAAACAGGACAGAGCCCACGTGTCTGCCATGGAGAGGCCGGCTCCTCGGCCTGAGGCAGACAACAATCACAGATCCCATGTACAAGCTCAGTCACTTAGCAAGCACTGAGTGCTTCCCACGTCCCGTGTAAACTGCGGAACACCCAAAGGGAAAGAAATGGCCTGTGCCCCTGGAGAAACACAAAATCCAACAGAAATACAAAATGCCACATATGTATACATACATGCATATTATAAGAGGAACGTGTTTTTGAAAAATGCCTAAAGACCCAAGTCAGAATCAACCTGCCCCAAAGCAGCCGTGCTTACAGCAAGGGCTGTGGGGATACCACTCACACTCGAGCCGGCATGTGTTCACAACCTCCTCCTCGCCATGCCCAGCTGCAGCAGCTGGAGACAGAGCAGGAGCCCTGCATACAGAGCTATTTCTCCCACGGAGCTTCTCGAGGGAAGACAGGCACTGACCAACTAAATATGCAACTGATCACTGACTTATGACTGTGATAAGTACGTGAAGGAAGAAACGAACAACAGGAGCCCCTGGTCTAGCCAGCTCCTGAGAGGACTCTGAGACCCAGAGGAGTCACTTGGTAAAGGAGAGCAGGGGTGGGGGTGGGAGGAGGTGCAAAGGCCCTGCTGTGGGAAGGAAGATGTGTACTAAAGAGAAAAGACGTTTCCAGATGTGGCAGAAGAGGCAGGTGGAGGTGTGAGCAGTCCAGGGAAAGAATGTGGGGCTGCATCGCCATGACTTACGCTGTGGAAGACTGTACACACTTAAATGTGAGGTACGTGGGGACACTGGTACCAAGAGAGAATGGAGTTATGGCTAAAGGGGAAGAGAGACAATGCGATGGGTCAGGAATGGCACTCAAGATTCTAAGCCCCAGCTCACACAGCCTCTTCATAGTTGCTGGACCACCAGGAGGGCCCAGAAATCCCAGGGGAGAGGTGGGGGAGAAAGGGTGGCACCGCAGTGGGCTTGGGAGAGCAAAAACTCAACAGAGCAAGTAACACGCAGACCCTGGCCAGTGCCCACCACTGGGTGCCAGCCTTGCCTGTCCAGAAGAGGCTGCTCACTCTGGGAACTCTGCCTGAGTCTGTTCCTCTCCCTTCACAGAAGCTCCAAAGTACAAATTATTCATCTGGCCAGCTTCCACAGTGACCTTGCTGCTTAACCACTGAGCTCTGCAGGTAGGATGAAGACAGATGCAATTCCAATGCAGCGCCAGAGGCAACGGGAGCCAACAGTGCGCAGAGGAGGAGCCGCGCCACCATTCTCAGGGCCACTACAGAGCGGGATCCCCTCGGGTCACCAGAAGTCCCAACTAAAAAAACAACAGCTACTCCACACCCAGCAGGTTGCTAATAGCCACAATAAGTGGTAAGTGCTTTAAAAACATTAGTAACAAAGAGCTACAGGAGTTCAGGGAAGGAGAACTCATCTCCAAAAACGATGGCCATGGAAGTCACTCTAGAAGAATCGACATGTTCTTTAAAGAATGTAGTGTTTCAACACATGCTCCTTGGAAACTTGATGAGCGAAGAGACGGCATGAGAAGGACATAAGAGCTGCTCAAGGAATGAAGTTCACATCATCTGAATGAAGTTTAAGGACACACAGGGATGAGGATGAGACTACACAGAAAGAATCTAGTCAGATTCTGTGACGGGCCTTGGAACGTCATCCTGCAAGCCAGGATCCTCCACTCATTTTCTGCTAAAAATCAATGCTGTTTTTTTATGTACTAGCTCCTGACCGAGACCTTCCCTCTCTCATTTTAGGGAAGCACGTTGGGACGCAGTTAAGTGAGACGGACAGGATGACGTGACTCTGCCCCCTTCCTTTGTACAGGCGACCATACACAAACTTCAGCACGTTTGTGTCGACGCTAACCACGACTGAGCTCTCAGCGTAAGTTCTGTTATGCATGCTTTACAGGAATTGATGCATTCGAACCTCACAACCGCCCTAGGAGATAGGTACCCTGTGTTGTCTGGGAGCCAGAAGACACTGCTACAGTAACAGGAAAGAGAGAACAGTCAGGGAAAAGCAGCAGGTAACGACATAGAGAAACACATATTAATTTTTTAAATGTAAAGATAGAAGAGCACGAAACTTGGTAAGCTGGGATGTGAGGATGAAGGAGAGGGTGGGGGAGCCACCATGGCTGCAATGACAGTGCAGTGCTGTAGAAGGCAGTGATGTGCCACCCAGATCACCTTTCAGGAGGAGTGACCGACTGCCCCAGGCGCCACCTCATCCATGATCATGCCCCTTCCTGGGAGCAGTGGGCACCCAGGGCCTGGGCATGGGTGTTTAAGGACCTAGTCCCTCACCGCACAGTAAGAGAGTCTCTGATGGGGCCCCCAGCTGCAGGCGTCCCGGTGGGTCAGCCAAGGCCTTACCCCAGCTGCTAGAGAGAACTGCATCACAATAGCTGGTGAGTACGAGACCACACAGGACAGCTCTGCAGGGCCACCCCAGCTCGAGGCTTGCTGAGGCCTTTGTTGATACTGCACTGAAGCCCAGCTTCTCCCTCTTTCTCTTCCCATCAGTGGGTGTTGATCCCACGAGTACTTCCTAATGAACTTCCCACACATTAACCTACATATCAGCACATGCTTCCCCAAGAGCCCAGCTGGCACCATACACTGAACTGGGGCAAGTGACACAGATGGGGTTGGGGGGCATCTTGCCCCCAGAGATGGGGAAGTGGTTAAGTTCCCCTTCTGATGTTCTGGTTTTCAAGTGCCAATGGAGCATCCGGGGAAGATGTCCCACAAGCAGCAAAATAAACCTATCTGGCTGGAAATTAACAGATTATGACTGATGCCCAAAACCTGATGACACCCAGGAGCCATGTGAGAAGAGCAGATGACTGAGGAAGGAACTGGGAGGAAGGCAGCCCTGCAATGTGGCATGATCCTGCTAGAGCCGCACAGGCAAGCCTCACCTTCGTTCTGGAGTCTAGGACACAAGTCACCCTGGAGGGACACAAAGGGGCCCCAGAGTTCTGTTTCTGATCTGGGTGCTGGTTAAATGGTGGCCACTTTGTGAAAATTCAGTGAGCTGTATTCTTATGAGTTGTGTACTTCCCTATATTAATGCTAGACTTTGACGTTTAAATTTTACAAAATGTAGGCAAAGAACAGGGGAGGCCACACAGAGGCTGAAAAGGGGAAGCCCGAGAGGCAGGGAGACCGGGGAGGAGGTAGGGGCTGTGGCAGGGGTGCCCAGAGTTGCGAGTAGGGGCAGAGGCCCACACCCGTCTCACCAGCAGAGGGCTGGGAAGCATCATCCTCCGGCCCAAACCCACACTCAGGGTTTACGTGAACCAGCATCTAGAGGGCTCTCACTCATGTTTCCCTAAGAAAAAATCATGTTTGAACTCACCCTGATCTGACAAAAAGTCCAGCATGGTCTGCAAAAGGAAGGACAGGTGCCTGACAGAGAGAGCAGGATTGCCCATTCTTCGGGAGGCGTAGACCAACTCATGTAGCAAACGCATCTGGACGGCAGCCCAGCCTCTGTGCGTGCCTGCAATGAAAGTTAGAAAGCATCTAGAGCAGGATTGCCCATTCTTCGGGAGGCGTAGACCAACTCATGTAGCAAACGCATCTGGACAGCAGCCCAGCCTCTGTGCGTGCCTGCAATGAAAGTTAGAAAGCATCTTAAACACGCTTCCAGAGGGTGCAGGAAATACATTTAGTGCAATGTGTAAAACAGCGATTTAAAGACAATGCCTTAACTATCTAACTCAAAGGTCAACAAAAAACATTTTTCCTGTATTTACTGACCTTGGAAAATAACTCTGAAGTGGCATGTTTTTCATACATTAAAAATACGTTTTATATTATACTTTCTCTCTTCTGCAAAGACACAATTTCAAAAATCCCTCTTTGAAATAATTATAATAAGCTTAGAACAAAGGATTATGGTTTTCAATAGCATGCATTTGAGTTACAGACATACTTTTCTCAAGAAAATACTGATATGTGATGGGCGTTCATTATCAACAGCCAAAGACATTAAAAAGTGCATTTATCTAAAGGACATGTGCAGAAAAGTGGATAGCTAAAATAGGAAAAAAAAAAAAAAAAGATTATCAACAGCTTGTTATGGCTGCTCCAAGACAGTTCAGCATGTTTGAAATTAAAAGTGGGGGAAATCAGATGCACAACCAACTGAAAAGTACCTCGTTAGGATAACAGAATTGTAGAGTTATTTAATCCACTTCCCTTTTGGCAACAATTATTATTTTTAAATATTTTCCACCTTAAAACCCTTTGCGAAGAAGATATAATAATAGGAACCCACAACAAACAAGTTTCCACACATGGCTGTAAGTTCAGGGGCTCTAGTGTCTTGGTGAAAAGTTGGGGGAAAGATTTCAGACGCACGTCTCAGTCATACTGGGTCTGATTCAAAGACATCGCTGACTTCCAACCTGCCCAGAGCTCATGTGCCTGGTGGGTGCTCAGAGATGAGCCTGAGTGACCTCCCCCACTGCTGTGGCCCCCACACTGGATCAGTGAGCAGAGTCACTTACAGAGACTTTGACATACAAATCTCACCACATCCTCAGCACCAAAGCTGTGATTTCAGTACATGTGGAGTGAGGTCAAGAAATCTGACTTCTGGGCTGGCCCGGTGGCGCACTGCTACAGTGCGCCGCTTGGGAAGCGCCGCGGCGCTCCCGCCGAGGGTTCGGATCCCACATACAGACCGGTTCCCGCTCACTGGCTGAGCGAGGTGTGGGAGCAACACCGAGGGTTGCAATCCCGTTGCCGGTCCCGGTCCGGTACGGGCGCGACACTGAGGGTTGCGATCCGTTGCCAGTCACAAGAAAAAAAGACAAAAAAAAGGAAAAAAAAAAAAAAAAAAGAAATCTGACTTCTTAACCTATACACCAAATGACTCGCATAATCAGCCAGATTGGTAAATCACTGTTCCAGCTGATCCAAAACTTAGGTCATGAAAAAAAATGCACAAAGGTGCTCTCAAGCTCAGATAGAACCAACACGCACTGCAAGTCTATGATATGCACGGCAGGTGGTCTACTAGCAAGGTTTTACTGAGAATGTAATATGAGGCAGGCGTAGGCAATAGAGAGGGGAGATTTACTACCTGACCTCCTGGACTTTACTTTCTGTGGGGAGAGCCAGGCAACAGCCCTTGGGAAATACGTGAACTGGTGAATGCTGTGAGGAACGCAAATAACACCGGTGACAGCTGACGGGGGGAACGGTGCTGTGCTAGCTGAGTAGGTGGGCAAGGAGGTGACATCTGAGATGAATCCTCAGTGAGAAGGTGGCAACGCCAAACTATAAAGCGGAGACAAGAGCAGTATGTGTCATAAAGTTGTGAGGTTTAAGTGCAAGAACCCACTGAAAGCACTTTTGGCAGTTTACTATAAATTATGAATAAATGCTAGTTGCTATTAATGTTATTACTCAGTGAATATAATGTGGTTGATGATCCAACCTGTCCCCTTGTCTCACTAAGAATAAATCCTCTACTGTTCAGATCTCTGTGGACATATTTACTGGGTAAAATGACCTGCTTGTGTGTTGAAATCCCCCATGCAGGTTATGACTCCTGCATTTGAAGACTGTGTTAGTGGCTGCTGCACCCCCAGGACAGAGCCTGGCAAGGAGTTAGGTGCTCAATGGATATTGACTGACGAACAGATGCCACCAAGAAAGGCAGCCCTTTCCACCACTGGGACACACGGACCATTCCTTCTCCTATCCTAACCTCTGACTGTCAGCCTACTAGTATCTTAAGACTCTGCTCAAAGGGTTCCTCCACATATATAGCCCTTACTGGAATCTTCTCCTGCCACCCTGCCCCACACAGCTGACCAGTCCCTTTTCTGTATTTCCACTGTATCATGCACAAATTTCAACCCATAGGACTTATCTGACAGGTACAGTGAGGCACCTGTAAGCTCACGTATTTGTTTCTTCCATTACCTCTTTTTTTTATGTTCTGTTTTGTTTTTGTTGGTTATGAATATTCATGAGATGCAAATTGTCACCACTCGTGCCTAAGATGCGATGGTCTTCCATCAATATTCTTAATTTCCTTGAGAGATAGGATTGTGCCTTACTCATCCAAGTGTCCTCAGTGTCTAGTAGGATGCTTGATATACAGCTGCTACTGAACAAGCATGTGGATTAAATTGAAAGCCTGATGAAAGAAAACTGCCCTATTTTTTTAGACATGCATACTCAAGTATGAAGATGTGAAAGGACATGATTTCTAAGATTTGCTGTAAAATACTTCAACAAAGAGTGAATAAAAGAAAAAGGTAAAAATACAGCAAATGTGATAAAATCTTGGTAATTATTTAATCCGGGTGATGGGCTCATAGTACTATTCTCTCTAATATGTGTATATTTAAAATATTTCATAATAAATTTTTAATTGAAATTCTGAAGCTGACCAAACACACACACACACACACACACACACACACACACACACACAACACATGCGCGCGCACACAAAACCCACAATACTTTATATTCTAGCAGTTTATCTTCCAAAAATCTTTTGGAATGGCACTTTTCATACAACTACAGGAAAGGAAAAAAAGACAAGTCCCTGCAATATTCCAACTGTCAAAGAAGCTAAGACCAAATGCAAAAAAGAAAGTTGCAGGATATAAAATCAATACACAAAAATCAGTAGCACTTTAATACACCAACAACAAACTAGCCAAAAAAGAAATCAAGAAAGCAAGCTCAGGGCCGGCCCAGTGGCGCACTGCTACAGTGCGCCGCTTGGGAAGCGCGGTGGCGCTCCCGCCGAGGGTTCGGATCCCACATGCAGACCGGCCGCTCACTGGCTGAGCGAGGGGCGGGGGCGACACCGAGGGTTGCGATCCTGTTGCCGGTCCCGGTCCGGTACAGGCGCGACACTGAGGGTTGCGATCAGTTGCCGGACACGAAAAAAGACAAAAAGGGAAAAAAAAAAAAAGAAAGCAAGCTCATTTACAATAGTAACCAAAAAATTAAAATATCTAGGAATCAGTGTAACCAAGGAGGTGAAAGATCTCTACAATGAGAACTACAAATCACTGCTAAAAGAAATTAAAGAGGACACCAAAAGATGGAAAGACATTACATGCTCTTGGATTGCAAGAATTAACACTGTGAAGATGTCCATACTACCCAAGGTGATCCATAGATTCAGTGCAATCCCCATCAAAATACCAGTGACATTCTTCACAGAAATAGAAAAAACAATCCTAACATTCATATGGAACAATAAAAGACCTCAAATAGACAAAGCAATACTGAGCAAAAATAAAATAAAGACGGAGGCTTAATACTACCTGACTTCAAACTACACTACAAAGCTATAGTAACCAACGGCATGGTACTGGCATAAAAACACTCAGACAAATGGAAAAGAATAGAGAACCCAGAAATCAATCCACATACTTACAGCCAACTGATCTTTGACAAAAGCACCAAGAACATACACTGGGGAAAGGAGAGTCTCTTCAGCAAATGGTGCTGGCAAAACTGGATGTCCATGTGTAGAAGAATGAAACTAGGGCCGGCCCGGTGGCGCACTGGAGAGTGCACCACTTGGGAGCGCGGCGGTGCTCCCGCCGAGGGTTCAGATCCCATGTGGAGACCGGTTCCCGCTCACTGGTTGAGCGTGGTGCGGGCGCGACACTGAGGGTTGCGATCCCGTTGCCGGTCCCCGGTATGGGTGCGACACCGAGGGTTGCGATCCCGTTACCAGTCAGTAAAAAAGACAAAAAGGAAAAAAAAAAGAAGAATGAAACTAGACCCATATATCTCAACACATACCAAAATCAACTCAAAATGGATTAAAGGCATAAATGTAAGACCTGAAAGTATAAAACTGCTAGAAGAAAACATAGGGGAAACACTTCAGGATGTAGGACTGGGCAAAGACTATGAATAAGATCGCAAAAGCACAGGCAACAAAATAAACAAATGGGATTATATCAAACTAAAAAGCTTCTACACAGCAAAAGAAACAGTTAACAGAGCAAAAGGACAACCTACAGAATTGGAGAAAACATTTTTAAACTATGCATCCGCCAAGGGATTAATATCCAGAATAGACAAGGAACTCAAACAACTTAACAGTAAGAAAACAAATAACCCAATGTAAAAATGGCAAAGGAGCTGAACAGACATTTCTCAAAAGAAGGCTAACAAATGGCCAACAGGTACCAAAAAAACTGCTCAATATCACTAATCATTAGGGAAATGCAAATTGAATCCACATGGAGATATCATATAACCCCAGTAAAACCGGCCATTATCAAAAAGACAGAGAATAACAAATGCTGATGAGGATGCAGAGAAAAGGGAAACTTCCTATACTGTTAGCGGAACTATAAATTAGTGCAGCCACTATGGAAAACAGTATGGAGGTTTCTCAAGCAACTACAGATAGATCTACCATATAATTCAGCAATTCCATTACTGGGTATATACCCAAAGGAATGGAAATCATCATGTTGAAGGGACACCTGCACTCCCATA